AGAGTGTCAAGCTGCAACTGTCCAGTACCATGAAAATCTGGTCATTTTCCTCGGAAAACAAGCCAAAGAACAAAAACTTGGCCTTTTTCATCTAGCCAGAAATATTTTAACATATTATTAATAACCTTTAAGATGAAAAATAAATCCTTTCATCTCCAAGCTGTGCTTGATGTGAACTTCTTTCTAAAATTTTATTCTAACTTAATTAATCACAGTGGGGGGGTTCTTGCTACTCACATTAATTTGTTTTGGACTAAGAGCCACGTATTTCTAAACAAAACAGACTATACGTGAAGACGGACCATTATAATCAAGTTTAATAAGGAACTAGAGCATTGTTCAAACCATTTGGTTTCATGTGTCTTGGTGACAGGGATTTACTGCCAAATCATTGCTTTCATGTAGAATACAGAGCCACAAACAAAAGCCCCTACATTTAAAACCACAGAGATCTGCCTGACTGCAGGCAGTATTACAATGCCCTCATGCCAAGCTCTTGAATCCCTGTCCAGCTGTACTCTAAACCGCAGCTCTATTTTCAGCTACTCCATCACTCTTCCACACAGGGAAAAAATGACAAGTGTCAAGAGCTACTGAACACAGAATTCTCACAGTTGGTCAGCACATCAGCACTCAAAACAGCTGCTCTTAAAATTGTGGTACACTGAACAAAGTCCATTCATCAGCCTCTAACTCTTTTATGTTATCATCTTAAGACATAGCTCCTAAGTATCTAAAATTCAGGGGTTCAGTTCTTACTAATGTGTCATGTAAACCCCAACTCTTCCAGGGACAACAGACTCAACACAGTTTTTCCAAGTTAGATAACAGCCATTTACAAAAACAAGTAAAATTTGTGAGAATTAGGATGCAGGAGCAAGACTCCAAACCAACAACAAATCTCACATCCACTCCAATATTTCTGAAGCTGCAAGGCTGCTGTGGTTTTCCTATCCCTCTTCATTGCTCACTATTACAATCACCATACAGTCACCTTTTTTCTATTAAAAGCTGGAACATTTCCTTGTCAGTGTACATCTAGAGCACAAGAAATCCAACAGGGGGACAAACCTCCACTGAAGGCACACAGTCCTAAAGAGGACAGAAGCCTATCTGTGAATTCCAATCAATCCAAACAGCTCTCAGGACTCAAAGCCTCTGAAAGAGGAGCTAAATTATGAGTCACTGGGACACCACTGCTTCCCCAACAGCTTCCTGTCTGCTGGCACAAGCTTTCCCTACTTTATGTCAAAAAGCAAACAGTGCCTGACATAGCATTATTTTTAACAAGACAGTCCTGCCTACATTTTCACTCCTTTCGTGTGGCCACTTTCCTAAAGGAGGAAAAAAATGAAATAACCTAACTATCAATCCCTTCAGCATTGCACACAGTGTCCAACTGCTTTCAGTTCAGGTTAAAAAAAATATAAAAAACCCCAGCAAAACCCCTGAAAACACACAAAAAAAATCCAGAAACTATGAAAGTGATGTCAAAGGTAGGATGACCTCTGACCCACAGATCAACAGCAGCCACATGGCTCATGAGGAGCTGATGACCAACTCTTCCTCCACTTCCACAGGGTGACACCTGAAGAACTGTCCATCTCTGGCACTCTATCCCCCTAGAGCAGCTCCTGCAGGAACAGATGTTATGAGCTCATTTTGCATGTACTGGTCATAAAAAATACCAGATGTTTCAGAAGGAGGAAGAACAATACAGAGAGAATGTAGTTCAGCAAGGACAGTGTTTGAGGTAGGGAGCATTAAGGAGATACCAAAATATCGCAGGGTCTCAGCTGGGGAAGAGAAGAAGGTGTGACATTTAATCCTGCAGCAAGGTCAGCACTGTGCAGAGCAGCTGGCCCACATACCCTGTGGCAGGACAGCCTGCCAGTCCTTCCCTTGCAGACTCCTTTTTGCTCCAATATCCATCACAGAAGCAAACACCAGCCAAGCATGTTTCTATTTTGTGCTCTGCTCCATGCACTCCTGTCAGTACTGACACATTGTGCTTTTTTTTTATGAGCAGTCAATGGGAATGTCATTAGTAACCTCACAGCCCAGCTTAGGGAACACCAGCAGGATTTCAGGAAAAAAAGACATGGGACAGCATCCTAAACCATTATTCTAGGTGACAATTCCCAGGCTATGACAGTCAGATGACAGTGCAGTGCAGGATGACAACTGACCAAAGCTGCAAGTGAACTGGGTTAGACACCTGAGCAGCCACTGCCTGCAGCAGGGACACCACTGATTGGACACAGAAGCGCAGGATGCACTGGAAACCTGCCACAACATAACCCTACCTGGCTGCCAGACTGAGCCTGGCTTTCTTCCAGCCACAGATACAACGTATTCATTTATAATTTAAGAGTAATACTGCTCATCGTGTTTAAAATACTAGAATAAAATTTCCTCGTCCTAGTGAGGAGGAAAAAAGCTCTTGACCAACAGATTTGGCTCAGTCTTCCAAGCTTTACCAACAGTAAAAGCTCTACAGTACTGAAAAAGAGAAGGTGCTGGTAACAGCAAACAGCTGTTCCATGTTCATGTTCCATGTTCAACACATTGTTCCAGCTCCACTCAGAGGAACATAGAGAAAGCTCTGTCTTTGCCTGACCAAAATAAACCAGGACCAACACTGAACTCCATGAATTCTGCAGCATCTCCTGAATTTCCTTCAAAGCTGTCAGCCTCTGAAGAACCACATGTCCTTTTGATTTCAGTTTACTCTTTTCAGTTTATGATAAACCCCCATAGAACAAGAAGCTTAATGTAATCCATAACTTCTCTTTAAAAATGTCATCTTAGATTATGATTAGAAACCAGTAATTTTACATGAAAAAAAAATAAACTGATACGAATTTTACCTCAAATAGTGTAGAAACACAGGAAAATAAAGTGGAAGAGAAAAAGAGAACAACCTGCAACCATCACTGACAAAAGGGAAGTTCTCTCCCCTGCTGTTTGTATGCCTCTCAAACTGTTTCCCACCTCCTTCACTGGAAAAACATTTGACAAAAAAAAAATAACCATTTCCAGCACATTTTTCAGAAGTGAGAAGAGTAATATTTCTTTCACAGAATCTCAACCAACATCAGCAGTGACTTTCACCGGTAGAAACATCTGAACTGACACTGAGGAGATTCTCTCCCTTCTGTTGTTACTTCTAGGAGATCTTGAACAGCTGAGATCTCGAGACCGAACTTCTGGATGCAGTTTTGTTGGTTTATTTAGAAATGGACTTAGAACTGGTTTTCAACACTGCTGCCAGTTTTCCTTCTCTTTGGCACAAATAGCAAACATGATTTAAATAGGACCCAGGTTGTGCACAGCTGACAATTTCCCCAATAGCTGCCATCTCTTTTCCTGGTGTTTCATCTACCATCCTTAAATCCCTCGTTCCCTTCACGACCTTGCTCTAGCTCCCCTCAGTGTGTCACTGTGCACTGAGCGAGACAAGCTCAGCTGGCTGAGCAGTGCTCAGGGACTGTGGGTGGAAGGACAACTCCAAACCTGTGACTGCCCACCGAGGTCACACCAGGCAGCAAATGTGCTGTCACAGGGGGGAAAGGAAACACCTCCTTTCAAATCATTGTTGCAGCACACAGCTCACTCAACTTCATAAACTGTAAAAAAAACCTACAAGATTTTACACTGGGTCTAGGTAAAAGTCCTTTCTGCTCACTTCCTCTGTGACAAACTGCTTTGACAGAACTGACACCTGAGTTTGGTAAAGAAATAAAGCAAAGTGCTTTCACATGATTATTTGTGTGACAAAATGGATTTTTAAACTGTCCTCTAAGTCCTGCTGCTTGACCAATAATTAGATAAACATGCAAGAGAGACATTAAAGATTCATGTTACCCATTTTAACAAATACCAGCCTGTCAGAGGTGCTAGCAATGCACATCTGAAGAAATCTGGCAGTAAACACATTAATATGTAACAACCAGACATTTATCCCTATGTGCCTAACATCACAATAAAGAATAAAACCGTTCTTCCCCAAAGTGGGAAAAACAGGAAAAAACAACTCAGGGTTGCACCTTTTTTCTCTATAATGTTTAAATGAAAGGAATCTTGCACTGCTGAAATACTTTTAATTCCAGAGCACACTGCACTCCTCCATCCTCCCGCTCTCCAAACAAAGAGCTTTGGCACTAAAATTTAAGAGATTAGTGCCCAGCAGGTGATGATTACAGTGGCACAAAACGCAAGAACCAGAACATTAAATTGTGAGCTGTGTTGCTTCGGCTTAAGAACAAACAAAAAACCCCTTACAAACCACACAGCCAAAAGCACAAACCATACCCATTGAAGTTTTTGTCAGAGCCAAGAAACACTCTTAATACAGCCCTTTCCACTACACATTTCAGACCAGCTGAAGGCAAACAGCCTCCTCCCACTCCCTGGCAGAGTAATTCAGGGTCAGCTGTGCATGAGAAACATCTAGTGATCATCAGCCTTTTGTTTAAAAATAGAAATGCAGGAAAAACCCCACAATTTGCATCGATGTGTTAATCTGATAGTCCAGTCAGGCCCTTGCTAGTGAGAGGTCAGTACACTCACACTGCGCTTACCGCACTCCTCACCTGATGCTTACCAAACCCAGCAACCATCACTACAGAAATACACGAGTTTTATAGTGTAAAACAGCATCGTGTAAAATACACATAAAAGTACAAAGAACATACAGTCATTCAGTTGAGGATTTTATCACCTTAGCCACAATAAATTTTTAAAAAATCTCCAACTTGTGAGAAACACCATTTGTCTTGGTAACAAAAAAACTTGCATTGTTTAGAGTCTGTGCCACAGGTTAACAAGGGCTGCTTGAGCCAAAACATTTATGTGCCTACTTACAGTCAATGACAGACAATTACTTACCTTTAGAGAATGACATCTTGTGCGACACCGCCTGCAGGATTCTGCAATGAAGACAAATACTTACCATTCCCACACATCAAGCTTCCTGAAATTCATTTCATCTCCATGTTTTCCCTTTGTACAAACCTGTCAAGTTTTGTCCGAAGCAAAAGGCAGGACACATTTAAAAAAGCAAATTGTTTGTGGACAGAAAGCAACTTTATTCAATGTTTACCTCATCCTACAGAACATATATCGACCTCCGCATGTTTTTATCTGACTGAATTCACATTCCTTCTCTGTGCGTGTTCCCATAGATATTTTTAAGTGTTCTTGAATACTGATGGCAATCTTGATCACATTTCTGTGTTTAAATGAATATAATTAAAAATATTAGTGACTGCACACGGTGCACCTCATGGGCAGGCCAAGTAAACAGTGGTGGCGCATATCTCGCTAGAGACTGACACACAAAAAACTCCATTAAAAATTGAAGTTATTTGCTCTTCAAAACATGTTTCACATTTTCCTTCTTCCAATATTTTTTCCAAATAACTACCAGAGCACTTAGCTCACAGTATTTCTGCTATACTACCTCAAACTTTTTGGATACCCAGTGCAGTATTCTGGCACATCTAGGTCTGGAATTTGTTCACGTTCTCTTCTACAACTAAAAGAATAAATTTCAAGTCAGAAAAAAATTCTTCATTGCTGCTGTTCTAGAAGAAAAGTGAAATTCCTGACTTTAATTCTTAATTGAACACTGAAGGCTACTCATGTTTTACAAAACCACAGATAATGAACACAGACAAAAAACCCTCACTTGATATTCCAAAGGAAAACCAAAACCAGCTCTCAGTGGTTACAAACCTGGCTAAGCTTCACAAATTTCACCAGAGTTACAGAAGACGTTTTTCTCTCCTAAGCGTTTTCTATATTCTTACAAACTACCTGAAAGTCTCAACTTTTTTTTTTCATTTTCCTTGACTTAATCAACTCTTAAGTACTAAAAATTGTAGAACTAACCAAACATTTATTATGCAGTAGTGTGGAGCAACAACCCCCTCAGTAAAGTGTCAGTCACTGTCACTAACCTTCATTTCTTTCCACAGGAAAGGGTTTGGGATCAGCTCACTGCACTGCTGCCTCGATGGCATCATCTCGTGTTCTCTCCTGTCCTTCCACAGCACTGGCAGTGGGAAAAGCAGCTCCATCCTTTCCTCAGAAACAACACTACCAAAATCAGCATGTTTCATAATCACGTATTCCCCAGCATCTGTTTCTCCCTCTGCAGCCCTCATGGCCTCTATGCCCCTTTCGTGATAGACAGTCCCTCGAAAGAATTATTTATTAAAAAAACGGGCACCTTGTCCCTGCCACCTCCCAGCACTTGCACTAAATTTTTCCAGGGAGAGCAATGACTAGCCGTGCCTTTTGGAAATAGCCAAAGCCCACCCTGCTGTTGCTGCAGCCTCCCCTCACGGATCAGGAGCGGGAACAAAGACCCAGCACCTTCTCTCAGCTCACCTCCGGCCAACCGGGACCCACTTCTCAGGTACTTCTCTCTCTGCCAAGTCAAGACAAGGCTTGAACCATCCCCCCCGAGCTGAAGTGCCCTTTTAAACCCCTCTCAGGTCGCACGGAAGGGCTCGCTCGCCCCTCAGGAGCCCGCGCCGCCATCGCACCTCGCCGCCACAAAATGGCGCCGGCGGGGCCGCCAGAGAGCGGCGGGAGCAGCGCCCTTGTGAGGGGACGGGAGGAGCAGCCCGGGTTTGGCGCCAATTCCGCCCGGTGCCAAAGTGGGGAAAATCCCTCAATCCCCTCACACCGCGCCTGAGAGCCTGAGGCACGGCTGGGGCTGGTCTTCCCCTCGTGTCACAGCTCCGGCAGCCACGCGCTTCATCCCCAGAGGCCCAGGAGTACTCTCGGTTTCCATCCAGTCAATGCAAAAAGCTAAAAGCAGCGAAAACAAGCCATAATATTGGTCTTCTTCCATCAAGTCACCTCAAAACAAAATAAAGGTAAGGAACACATAGGCCACAAGTTAATGCAAGCCACCAGCGATGCTGTTGCTTTGCATCCTGAGGAGGCTGCTAAAAAAAAAAAAAAAAAAAAAAAAAAAAAAAAAGGACACATTTGGGGTTTTTAAGCACCATTTTGGCTACAAGATACACTCTTATATTGGGAAAAGACCACTCTATCTGTTAGCCGCGGGGGAATTGTAACCATGGCAGTAACACAGTTCTGCTCTCCCATACCAAAGCGCATCAATCGCTTTTTGAAAGCCCTGACAAACCACTTGAGGCGAGTCTCCTTCCTCACAGAAATGGCTGGGCCAGCCTGGGGAGGGAAACAACATGTTGACAGTACAGTATTAATCTCTACACCGAGAGGAAAGGACAGATGGACTCGCTTTTCCTCTGAAGGATAAGTGTGAGGTTGTACCAGGAAGCTTAAATAACAAAGAAAAAAAAGCAACAGAGGCGAGGGAAGGAAAGGAAACAAGATTGACAAGGTAATTTAGTATCTAGTCTGTGTTTCAGGTAACACACCTCGTCGCTCTCTAATAAAGCTTTCAAAGTTTCCCAGATGCTCTCAAATGGAATCCTGGCATAAAGGGATTTTTATGCATGAATGCATTATTTCCTCTTTATCTGCTGTATATTAAGGACAAAGTGGAACATCCCCTAACAAAGTTCCTACCTAGTCTTTTAGGCATAGAGGAAACAACACAAAGTAACATTTGCCAGAAGTACAGCCTTAGAGAGACCACAAGTAACAGAGCAATACCAAAAACACCCAGTTCATTTCCCCTTGGATTAGGCAGGTTTATCTGTCAGCTGAGCTACTGTTGCCTGTAGCACACCACATTCTGGCTTGACCCTTCCATTTTTAGTCCTACCAGGACTGATAAAGAGATGAAACTGGAGCAAAACCAGACTCCCTACTTCGGCAGACAGCATCTTTCATCCTGAGTCCGGGACTGCACCGGGGCTCCCGGGATGTGGTTCAGGGCTTTCAGGCAGCAGGACTTGCCAGCTCTCACACAGGCAGCAGGACTTGCCAGCTCTCACACAGCCTGAACAAGGACAAAGTGTTTCAGCCACTTGTGTCCCTGGAAATGTCCATGTTTTCTTTGTAAAAGACAGGCGAGAGAAATACTGCCTCGGCTTGGGAATCACCCAAACTGGGCAGATGGAATCATGTCAATTTGCTTACACAGTTATTCACATTCTCCCCCCCGGATTCAGCTCTTCTTTCCTTTAACCACAGGCTGCAAGCAAAGCTGTGGTCTTCAGCAGATTCACCTCACACAGTTAGACCCATTCGTTGTGCTTTATGGTGATGCTTTGTCCAGCTCCTCAGGGGCAGAACACAAGATCTTGTCAATATTTCTTGAGTAAAAATACTGGTTTCTAACCATAAATCTAAAAGCTATATCAAAAAATATAACCATGTCTTTTTTTTTTTGGTCAGAGCACATGACTCCAGGGAGATTTGTCTGCAGAAGAGGATGCACGTGTCATGTGCGCAAATTCAACAGTTTTTGTGTGCAATATCATTTTCCAAAAGCCATGGTAAAAAAATTGGTACCCCAAGTAGTTTCAAATTTGAAAGCATACTGACTGCAGTAAAATCAGCTTTTACACTGCAGAACAAAAGATGCAACATATTTTACATGTCTGATTGCATCTCAGGGAAACATGACAAATGCAAGGAGACTGAAACAAGGAGAGGACAGACCCTAGAAAGCCCGTACTGTTCACTAAAGAAAGCCATAAAAGCTCCCCCAAGGCACAGCATTTCCATAGCACAGTGACCTGACATTTTGCAGGTGCTGTCACAAAGCCAATGGACACCTAGTTTTTTGTGTACATTTTTTTTTCCTAGGAGTATTTTTGTTCCAGGAACATTTGGGCACCTCAGTACATAGAGATCCACTATACTTGCATCTTCTGAGACTGAACCAGCTACCAGCAAAGTGAAATGGAAAAGAAACAGATTCTAAGATTCTGCTGTTCTATTGTCTGTTCAAGGTCATATTCAAGAAACTCAGACTCTAAGGAGATGTCATCAGGGCCATTCAAGCATGTCCTGGGAAGAAGAAACCACTTGGAATTAATGCAACTCTCTGAGAAGACAGCCCTTTAAAAAAAAACAAGCCAAACCAACCTACAAAAAACAGGTACAACGCTTTAAAGGGAGGGAAAAACACTCTGAGTAGAGCCAATTTTAAAATTTTCTCTGTTCATTTCTGATCAGTAAGAAAGAGGCTTTCATAGAAATGTGGTAGTATTTCTGCCAAGATCAGAACCAGAACCTGCAGTTACTTCAGATGCTCTGCCCACAAAGAACCTTTTCATTTTTTGCTTTATTGTCTGTCATTAGGAAATGAATTTAAGAAAAATAAAAGAAAGTTATTAAGAATTCAGTTTGAAGTTCTACTTGGAAATAATCATACATTATAACACTTCTGATGGAATAATTATTGACTACATATTAATGTCTTAAGTTAGATATGTTAGCAAGATTTTGACACAAAATTTTTAAGAGTATAGAGCTTGCCATTCCCTATTGATTTTCACAGAGTACCCATAAAGCAGCACTCTATAACAAAAGATTTTTCTTGGTTACAGTAAGTTTAACTTCTTGATTAAATTTCAGATGGGTGCACTGCAATCTCTCTCTCCTGCCTTTTTTGCCGATAGATCTCAGAATCTTTGTGGAAATGAAACCTTATTTTAAAAGCTAAACCACCTACTGGGATTTGTTCTTAAGTATCTGCCTTCTGCCAGCCAGCAGGTCACACTTCAGACATGGCTGTGATCTCATTAAGCACCACTGCACTGCCTCACTTCAGCCAGGAAAGCACTGAAGGGATAAACACCATGGAAATCTTCCTTAAAAATCATGTCATTTTTAACTATTGATGGATCTTTCAGGAAGTATCCACCAATAGTTAATATTAATTGCAAGACCCTGGGAAATTAGACTCCAAATGCTAGAGCTGTTGAAGAATTGGTACCTTAATCTGGTTGTTGATGATGCAAGTATCTGTACGTGTTTTCTTTGCTGCAGTTACTTGGTTTTCACCCCTGACATGACTTGCACATCAGGCTTTAAAGGCAGTCTGGCTGTGCTGGGAATCACTGCAGAGCAGCAATAACAAAGACCAGGATCACAGCAACATCTCAGAACACCAATGAGGTTGAGATAGACCTGAAATAACAACCTAAACTTAATAAATTGGAACTGGAGAAACGGTCTAAACATGTGCTTGTGTTGGGGAAGACAGAAGTGACAAGGAATTCAGCTGGGGACAAAGTAGATAAATCTGGGAATGAGCTCCAAGGAAAAAGGTACCATGATTATTTCACATCAGGGAACAAAGAAAGTGGAAATCCCTCAAACAAAAGCAGTCAAGAGGGGGATGCCATCACACCCTGGTCCTGAAATCTGTGGCTCAGTAATGTGTCTATCACTTTCACTTAATCCAAGTAAGAAGCACACAATTGGCTGTTAGGTCTGTTCTCCTCCCATGGCAAAAAGGAATGGGTTACATGTAACCTTCCATGAGGGGAAGGTCGCTGAAACTTTCCTGAAGAAAGCACTTTTAGCTACCTTTGGGGACTAATAATGCGTTCTATTCTGCTTTTGGATAAGCTGACTACATCTCCAGTGCCATTTAGCATCATCTTTCACACACAAGCAATTGTCCTGGACAATTAAACACCTGCAGTCCAGAGCCTGGTGAGAGTCTCTTCACTGCCAAATGTCTCTTTCACTGCGCAAACAACAAGTTGAAGGGTGCAAAACAGAAGACTTCTTGGCTCAGAAGAGCTCTGCAAGTCTCTTCCTTTTCTTTAGTTCACTTTCACAGCTTGTTGCTACTCTGAACAAAGTATTGACCAGTGTCTCAATAGAAATGCCATTGTTCTCATCAGCAGTACGAATTTTATGGTCATCTGCAAGGTACTTGCCCTAAATTCTTTTGGAAAGCTTCATGAGGGAGACAATCAGGATCCTGTTCAGACAAACAGAAAGAGCCATAAGCCATAAATTTTCAGACCTGAAACTTTCCCTCGGCATTGATCAGTAAACATACATATCCCTTTCTGCAAAAAGAGGGGGCAAAAATCCTGTCTGTTGCCCAGAGCTGAAAATTGAGTTTCCTTGATTTTTCTAAAGTTTCTGGCTTTAATGAGACATTTAAAAAAGTGATTATCATGAAGGACTACTTCTCTAATTATAATAACCTTTCCTATTCTTTCAGAATAAATTTTGTTGAACACTTTTCATGTGATTTGCTTCATTATCTTTTCATTTAAATCATCTTTGATGACACACCATTTAATTAGGTTTATTGTGCAGGTACGGATGGTTAAACTTGTGCATTCAGCACATGCATTCCATTTGACTAACATAATATATCTTATTCATGCCACTGTCACCATCCATTACCAAAATTAACAAGGCATCATACAGTTAAACTAAGTTTGCAAAATGTTGTTTATCAAGAATTTTGCTTTCACACCGTTATAGGATCCCTTATTGATGACTTTGCTGGTGTTCTGTGATCCCACAGTCATAAATATTTACTTGTCAACATAAACTGTGAAATGTTACTTTCCAGGGAGTCAGCCAGTGTTCTCCTCTAGTCATAAATATGATTCCCTTTGATGTAGTATTATTAATGTTGGATTTTTTCCTGTTAAGAGATTTTATAGCCAGGAAAAGAAAGAAAATTGCCTGGTAGTTAATAACAATCATTTTATACACACACACACAACCAAAATCTCACATAACTTAAAATTTACTTTGGCCTGCAGCAAGAGGTAAATATTCACAACTTGTTAAATTTGCAGACAAATATGCACAAACTTGTTATTGTCAAGATATATTGTTCAATGGCTAAAAACTAAAAGTATTGGCAGAATATCTCCGAAAATTCCGGCTGTAACCATTACAGGGGCTACAAATTCCCTTTGCTCCCATTATTTTTAACAGCTGCTTTTCCAAATGGAACAAGATTTGCAGGGAAGAGTTCTAAGACTTTCTTAGAGCAGCTGATACAATTGTCAGACAGAACCAAGTCAGCTGTGGCAGTGGATTTGGTGAGCTGATATCCCACCCTGAGCGCTGACACCAGCTGGAGCGCCAACAGCTGCCCCCAGGAAAAGGAGCTGCTGTGACACCCCTGCAGCAGATTTAAGCTCAAGATTCTGAGGTAGATCGTTTCTCACAACTAAAAACTAACCAGCCATCAATATACATAATTTCAGCCACAGTACCTCGTCTCCAGAAAAGTGTTCCCACCACTGCTCTATGCTTCCTTGTAAAATAGCTTCACTTCCAGCTATTTTTTATCTTATAAGATGCTCCTCCACTCAACTAAGTAAAGCAAAACTGCTGGGACCACAGCAAAAAGGATCAGTCTCATTCACGGTGGGTCTCTTCTCCAAGGACCACACATTTAGTGACTGTTTATCAAGGAATACCAGGCAGGTGCTCCTAAATGGCCTCAGAAATGCGTGGCTCAGATAAGAACGAAACCAGGTGTAGAAGAAAGTTTTTTAAATTCCTGCAAAACATCTGAGGGAAATTAAATAAGGACAAGGGCTGGATGCTCCTTCAGAAAAACAAAGCTACTTTGTAGGTCAAGCTGCTGCAATGCTGTAAAAAGTGCTTAGGGGATCAGATGTCTGAAATAAAAGCCCACAATGAACAGCCATGGTTGCTGCGCACTCACACTTCATGTAGGTAAAAAGAAAAAATATATTTTTATTCCAACTATGAACAAGATAGTTTTTACGATCTCAGGGTTTCAGGCTTTGTGACAGTAGCCAGCACTGTCATGCTGAGGCACCAGCAAGTGAGAAGGTCCAAATGGTTCGAAAGCAGGTTTGAAAGAGGGTGTCAGTCACAGACAATGTGATGACAGTAAAGCTGGAACAGCTCCAAATGAAAAAATAAAACCAGCCACCACTATGTCTAAGAGTCATGGGGAGATTTTAGAAAAGTAGTGATGGCTCAGAACAGAAGAAGGAGATGAGCTGGGCACAAAATCCATAAAAAATTTAATGGTGCTGTTCCCTGAGTGCTCTCTTTCGTACAGCTGCCTGAATGAATCTGCAGTTAAAACAGAGAAATATGTATTTAAAATAAACAGAAAAGGTGTTTCATACTCACACCCTATTCTTCTCTTTTGCTTTACTGCTCTGATGGTAGCTTGATCTCTGAAGTCTATACATGGACATGCAGCTAAAATTCTAATTAAAACTTGTGCATTTTTAACATTTAAAATGGTATAATTAAAGACCTAAAACTAACAGATACATGAAGAAAGAATAAAAACTGTCTGAGATGTTGAATTTCATAGTTCACGACTCCTCAGCACTTCATTATGCAAATCATGTAGCACATGCTCCATGATTAGCACAGCTTTCTCAATGGAATATGTCTCTCTGTTATTAAATTAATTTTGTCTGTCTGCTTCTTTTACATTCTCTTGCTGTCCTCAGCATAAAACATTAGAAGGTAGGGTCAAACTAGAAATCCATGTATATAGAGTTAAGTCCTTTACCCAGAGAAAAAAAAAGGAAAAATAACTTGCAATGTAAAGTTTATGCCCAATGTAAACAAGCAACTATTAGTTGTGCTCTAAGTTCTCAAGGACAAAAGCACAACTTCTGTTTTTTTAACCTCTGTATTTTACTGCAGGTTGAGAAAAGATAAAAATCTCTTGTCTGCGGTAAAAACAAACATTTGGGGGCTATATTTCATAAATGGAAATAAAATAGCTAACCTTAAAGATTTTAGTGGGGTTTTTTTTCCCTTTATCTAGATTTTCATGCAGTGCTATTCTCCCTCAGGGTAACTACTTTTTTCTTGGCTGGTCTCCCTCTCACTCCAATATATTTGGTTACATCATGGAGCCTGTACTTCATCCAGCTCTTTTTATTCTATCAGCAGCAATAGCAAAGAAACACTGGATTTCTTTTTTTTTTTAAGACTGAAAATTATAATCAGTATCTGCAGCAATAGTTTTATTTCCAGAAGAATCTAAGCTGTACATGGAAGGTGATAGATTTCCTGCTTACCCTCACACTATATTAAATACTTACGGTTTTAATGAAGAAAAATATTCTTGTATTTAGTTGGATCAAAAGAGAGAAATTCAATGCTACTGGGTCCCATATTTTCCAGAAGAGGGATTTAAGGTAAAATTGAAGTTTTGGCCTGACAAGTAACCAACCAAAAACATCTAGAATGCTTCATGTAATCTGTGTTTTAACAAGTATAAGAAAATGTAGCAGACAGCACTGGAAAAAAATAATAAATAGATGAAATAAAAGAAAGACTTATATTTCATATTTACTGCTACTGTGAAAGGGTAGATGTTATCAGCATCCAAAAACCACGCACAGTTCAGACTTGAGTCCCTCCAATGTGTTTTTTCCACATGTCACCTATGTGCCATTTACAGAACATAATTGAAAATATCTTTTAGATTGTTGTTTATTGTCTACTTATATGATTTTTATATTTCAATTGTTGAAATATTTCTTTCTTGGGAATTGCATTTTTCATTCACACACTTGTTTAAAAAAAATTGTAACTAGAAGGAACACAACAAAGCACACCATATTTAGATGAAGCCATAAAACCAGTGTGAAAATGTAAATCCCCCATGTCCTTAATCCTCGTCTGGCTTAATATAATGAAGAACACTGACTTCCAGACCAGTGAAAAGAAGCTTGACCTTGATATCAGCCACAATCTTATTACCATTGCTGTGGCACTCCTATTATTATTTCATTTGGAATACGTTTTATACAGTCCCATGCAGTTTGCCCCGTCCCCCTACTCTTGTCTCATAGAGGGCTTTTCCCCTTTTCTCTCACCCACATCACCCTTTCCTTGGTTCTGACAGCAGGTCAGTCACTGGGAATCCACTTAAAACTCCAGTCTTGCCTTAAAAATCCCTTTCCTGTTACTTAATCTGATGTTTCTGGGGAGGAATAATCCACAGAGGATCCATCTATCAAAGTACTGCTGAAGGACCAAGT